TTTTTTTTTTTTTTTTTTTTTTTTTTTTTTTTTTTTTTTTTTTTTTTTTTTTTTGACACTTTTGCTGTCCTTACAACATTGAAGTCTTTAGTATGGAGTTAGTGTGTATGAAAATATACAACTAATGTACAAAAGTATTTATAAACTTTGGAATATATTTCTCCCACTTATTACAACACATAGAACAGGACCCAAACATAACACATACATATGCCTTATTTAAATGAAATCATGCATAGATAATTGGAAAATTATTTATACGTATAGTACCATAGAACTTAGTGCAGCAATATGGCTAGGGTTCTTCACTGCCTTCCATAAGATGAGCATCAATGTCTTTAGACATCTCTACACAAAACTGAAGCATAGAATGTGAATCAGGGATCTCATCATGTAGCTTTTCATATTCTAAAACCCAATGAATCACACTTCCCTTCTCCTTTGGAATGCATTGGATATTAAACTTGAAACTCTTGTATTTCTCCGTAAGGTCTCCCTCGATCACGGTGAAAGTGATCGAATTGTTCTGTTTGTCGACTGCTTCGATTCTCTCCTTTGTCACTCTAGCCTTCCCATCTGCAAGTTTTCGTGTATAAATGTTGTTATTACGAGCATTTGAAAAAGTCATTCTAAACAAACTCTTAAAAGAAAATGGTAAAAAAAGTTTAAAAAATGATGAACCGTGAAAATATCTCCAGCAGATGATGGAACCAACTTCGCCCCATTCACCTTCGAGTAGGTCAACGCCGTGCACTTTATCGGTAGAGACATTGGAGATATGGTGGGTTCTTTTGTGCAATATTTCATGGAACTTTGAAGCTGAAGCTCTGATATGTACATCAGTTTCAAGCTTTCCAAAGCGATCCATGGTGTTTTGATTTAAGCCAAAAAAGATAAGCCAATGCCAAACATGTCTCTTCTTGGACTCATGGAAAGACTCATTTATAGAAGGGCTTTACTCTTATTTCACTGTGTCATTGCGAATAAAATCAAATAATGTTTTTAATTATTTCAACCTACAATAACTTTTTTGAATAATTGTCCTTAAAATAACCCAATATAATTAGTTTTGACCTTCAATCCAAACACACGGAAACATTCTCTTAGAAATGCTTCTCCATTAATAAGTCTACAAAAACTATATCATAGGTCAACAATATACTTATATGACACATAATTATATCTAATTGTTTATTAACTTTTCACTGCATGACTGTCACATTCTATGATTTCATCATATGAGGTCAACAACGATATGTAACGAGTCAAAATGGATAATATTTGTTAGCGGTAGGCTTGAGTTGTTATAAATAATGTAAGAGGCATACACTAGGCGGTGTGCCAGCAAAAGTGCTGGGCTCTCAAGGAGGTGGATTGTAAAATCCCACATCAATTCGAGAGGAGAATGAAGGATTCCTTGTAAAAGTGTAAAAACCTCTCCTCTAACATATGCATATTAAAATCGTGAGACTGGTGGCGATACATCATGAATTTAAGCGAACAATGTCACTGTGCACAATTTAAATTGTATTGATCCCATTTTTGGGTCATCAAAATACCCTATTTAAAAATAGTTTGAATCACATAATTCATAATTAGTTTTGAAAAACAAAATGCTAACGATTATTTAGAAATAATTTAAAATATTATTGATCACATAATTCAGAATGTCATAATTAAATAGTATTATATGATAACAATTATTGAATTGGAAAATTCAAAGTGGTAGAAATGTAAGATCACGCTCTTAATGGGATCCATAACTATAAATGAGGCTAGGACAAGACCCTAAACAAAGAACCCTAAAATATCTTATACCTAAAAACCATAACATTCATATGGGTCTCTTTGAAAAGGTGGAAACCGATGTAGAAATCCGAGCTTCATCTTTAAAGTGTAAGGAAATAATTCACGAGAGACCTCATCATATCTCCGATGTCTCCACCGACATAATACACGGGATCAACCTACATGAAGGCGAATGGGGCAAAGTTGACTCGATTCTCTACTGGAAATATCTTCACGATTTATCATTTATTTAGGTTAAATCATTAAATATTCTCGAAGCACTTTTGACTTTTTTATAAAAAAAAAACATCACTTTCACCGACCCAGACCCACCGCTAGCAGATATTATCCTCTTTGAGCTTTCCCTTTCGGGTTTCCCCTTAAGGCTTTAAAACACGTCTGCTAGGGGAAGGTTTCCACACCCTTATAAATAGTAGTTTGTTCTCCTCCCCGACCAACGTGGAACATCACATTTATTCCAAAGGAAAAGGAAGTGTGGTTCACTGGGGAGTTATTATATGAATATTTTGGCTTTTACGGTATGCTTTGCATATTCTCTATTTATGTTTCAATTATGCGGAGCGGGGTGGCCCATAGTCTACTGGTCTCAAGATCGGAAGCTGGTTATGATATTATGTTATAATCAGGAAACTTCGACAATGGTATGATATTGTCGATAATTTTTCATAGCTTT